ATAACTGCCTAAAATTGAGAATAAAATGCGCGAATTATGTTAGATAGTCAAACTTTTTTGAAAAACAAATTCAAAATTTTTTTTATATTTTATATAAAATATTGTGCCGCTTTTTTATATAATTATATTCATATTATTTATTTTTTATATTAATTTGAATTATTTAATATTTTTTAAATATTTTATATACATATTATATACAATTTTTTATTAAATTCAAAAATTTTAAATTGATATAAATATTAAATTGATATAAATATTAAATAGAGTGTATGTGCTTTTTACGCTAAATGCAAGACGTGTGAATGTGCAGATCTGTGTCTGTGCAGTCATGCGATGTAGATACTATAAAACCCTGAGAATAAAGCGTTAGATTCCTGACGAAACGTTCGGTCGAAGGACTCCCTCCGTCATATATTCCCACGCTTATCCGTTTCTCTCTTTCTCTCATTCTCTCTCATCTCGTTTCCCAACAAATTAGATCTCCCGTTTCGATCGGCGCTCGCGATTTATATCACGCGCGTATTAGTTATTTCGTCCGGTTAATCGATTCAAGATTGCCGATCGCGATTTGCAACGCGTCGTCTCTCGTCCTGCGACGGCCGCCGCTAATTTCCCGCGCCGTTTTCCTTTGATCCTTCGCTCCGCGTGCGCGGAATTAAGCCGCAGACGGGAAACCATAAAATACGCGCGTCGATTCAATATAATTCGTTTGAGACTTTTCCTCCGACTCGGTTAATCTTTTTAATTGGAATTTGATACACGCATAATCGAAAACAACGATTTATATATCCGTTCATTTTCGAGAGATAATAATTTATTTTTTTTTTCTTTTTCAAAGTGTTTCTTCTTTCTATTTTTTTTTTTTTTGTCATTACACGCCCGCGAAGACAAATTATAATTATGTGAATAAATTAAAGAAAACGTATTGAATGTACAAAGATAGAATAAAATTAAGGATATTTTTTTGATTATTAATGACATTAATAATATACAACTTTAAATTTTAAATTTAAATTTTACACATATATAAAAACTATTAATTAATATACATAAAAGCTATTAAAATATTAAAATATATGAAAACAATTTTTAAATATGTTAAGTTTAATTATTTTAAAATTAAAATATTTTAAAATTAATAGTTTTTATATATTTTAATATTTTAATAGTTTTTTAATTAATAGTTAATGATATAATATACCTTAATTGTTTAAACATTCATCGAATAATATTTGCGACGCTACTCGATCGTCAATACCCTTATCAAGGACATTGCTTTGATTATTTTTGGACGCGATATCTAGAGTCGAGGAAGTTGATCCATGTCCGATTTCCTGATCTCCCATCGCGTTCGTAGCGAAGCTGCATTCCTCACGATCGTTATCGCCGCATGCGTCGACCTTCGCGGAAAATGCGTCGCTTTAGTGCCGCTATTAAGTTAGGTATTCTCAATATTCGCAAATAATAACGTGCATCGTATCGTCTAGATATATACAACGGCGAGTTAACCCGCGTCTCACGAGAATTGCACGACATTCAAGGCGCATCGAGCGAGGATAATAATAGGATGATTTATTGCCGTGCGTTTCGAGATGGCGAGTTTTGTTCGAGCGAGAGTAAACTTAACAATAGATACAATAGGGTAAAAATACAATTAGTATTGTACAGATGAATGGAAAAAAAAAAGATATTTCTTTTCAATAGAGTTTTTTAATCCTTACAAAATAGAAACAGGCAACCGGGATATTTTATATAACATACATTCGCGAAGAGATCACTTCATAATTAAATTCGTGTTCGGAAAAATATTTCGATGAAATACCGGATTAAAAAAAAAAAAATTTCGCACTTTCTCATGATTTTTCCACCTCATCTGCCCGATGGTCTTCGCGCTTTCACCTGACCAATATTACGGGTGTTAAGATCGCGACCGAAATTAACCGCGGCAAATTGCGTGCGAGAAGCGATATTCGTCAATTGCCAATTACCATAAAAGGGCGCTTTACGATCGACGCATCGGCGAGTTGAAAATTGCCGGTATTGACCAATGGTTGACTGACAGTGCCGGTAATTCCATGGAACTCTAGCGCTATCACGATAAATGCGAGACGATGATTATAAATGTACACTTTCGCCGCGCATTCGCATCAAGGAACAATGTCCCTCGACGAAGAAGCACCTTGACCTAAACCATCTTTTTCCGATGTATTCGAAAAAAATGTCGATCAAAGAATTTCTCGCTGATCGAAAAGTTCAATATTTATAATTAATATCAATAATATATAATATAATTATTATTATTATTATTAATATGTAATTTATAATATAATTCAATGTTTATATAATTATATTGAATATAATTTAATATTT